ACAAAGCCGTTGGCCAGTCCAGGTTTTGGTTGAGCCAGTCAGTTAAGTGAGTCAGCCAGGTGGACAGGGAGGCAGGTTTCCATGTATGCTGCTGGTTAATGGCATCAGGTGCTGCTGTCTGCAATGATTAGTGCTGGGGCTGGAGTAATGGGCTCTGATAACAGTAATGGATCAGCCCACAAACACTTAGCTCAGTTTACTCTCTCTAATGCCCCTCACAGCCCAGCCCTCAGCAGCTGCCTGTCTGTCTGCCTGTTGACACAGCTAATGGGAGTCCTACGTTTCATAAAACACATTGATTTTTCTCATCTCCTCGGGACAGTCGGTTTTTTTTTGCTGATGTTTCATTGTTCTTTGAAATTTCTCAAGCCATCCAAACTTGGTTATTTTTATTGCCATCCGAACTCATTCGTCTCACTTTCTTTTCCCTAAAAGTTGCCTCATCACGGCATCATCTTCATCTGTCCTGTGCCATTTCTGCTTCCTAGCTGCCCAGTGTTTCTGTCTCCACTCCATTCCATCATGTCTGTCCCCTGCTTGCACTGAGGGTTGCTTGAGCAGGTGGCCTGTGGCAGGTTGTGTCTGGGCTCTGTTTGCTGGTCTGCAGGAGGCTGAGAACCAGTTTAAAGGAGTTTTACAAAGCATACTTTTTAATGTTTTACATGGCCATCTTCATATATGCATGGGTGCAGTGGTGGGCACCAGCCCATTAAAGCACACATCCGCTAATTGTGGACCTAAATATTTCGTTTGTGCTTTAGCGGTCTTACTAATTTTTATAATTCATAAGCGGATGTGCGCTTTCTAAAGTTAAAATGCAGTACCACTAATAACTAATTATCTACCAGTCATCATTATCTTGAACAGCAGAAGGTATGACTGTCATTGAATCACAACACATGATCTATCCAACAGCACCCCTCCCAGATAAACACACTTATTAAGAAGGTATACATCCTGGCAGACTGTTGCTTTCGGTCACGCTTCTGATTTCCCACAATGCTTTGTGTCTGCTTACGTAGCAGGAAGGCAATAGCAAAACAAGTTAATGTTTGTAATCCATACTAAAAAATTTTATGCATTGATTTATTTTACTTTACAGTCGAAGCTCCCTTTTTTTTTTTAAAAAAAAGAAAGTTTAAACGCTGGAGTTCAATACTTGACATAATTGGTCGAAGCAATCGGCCAACGGGGTTAGAGACTCAGAAATGATTTTACGATGTTATGCTGGTGAAGACTGACATCTAGTGGTCAACTGCAGCAACTACATGGAAAACTTTAAAATCTAAGCTCTTATTTTGAAGTGAAGATAGTTTCCTGTTCTTTGTGCTTTCGTTTCCTGTCACAAATCAAATCCGTCTTGTACTCAGAATGCATTAGGGGTGTAAGAAAATACCGATACACTGAAATATCACGATACTTCATTTCCCGATACTGTATCGATA